TTTTTTTTTTTTTTTTTTGCAGGGGGCAAGGTAGTGCTTTCTTCCTCTCTCTGTCTCCATCCTTCTCAGGGAGAGCATGCACCCACTGGCAATTAAAGACAAAAACAGCTCCTTTAAGTGTTTTGCTCATACTGTCTCTCTTAATCTTCACAATAACTCTAGGAAGTAGACACTATCATCATCGTCTTAATTTTACAGATGAGGAAACTGAGGCCAAAAAGAGAAGCAACTTGCCCAAATTCACAAAGTTGATAAATGATAGATCCTAGATTCAGACAAGGGTAATTTGGCTTCAAAGCCTACCCTTTCTGTTTTTTAATTATTATTTATTCTTTGCCTTATGTCTTTTTTTTTTTTTTTTCATTTTCAGGAGAAGGAAGATAAATGGGTATAGTCAGTCCAACATTTTATAACGAAAATCTACTCGTTTCATAGAAACACCTAGAAAAGATATAGGGATCTAGTGAAGAAATCTAATGCCAGAAAATAGGCCTATGAAATGACCCTCAATCATCTCAACAAAAGTGATATAAAAGATTCCTAAGTGAGAAGCTTAAAAGAGGCTGTTTCAAAACCACAGATAAAATCCTAATGAAACCGTAATGATAGCAATCTCAACAATTCACTAGTTTCACTGTCACCACCACCAGAGAGAAGCTGAGAATATGTTAAAATTTTAGTCCCATTCTATTCCCTGATAGCTTTTTAAATAATTACACATGCTACATGATGAACCGACTCTAAGCACTGTGCTGCAAACTGCAGATAAGGAAATGAGAGACACTGCTCCACTGTCCTGCCGTCACAGAGCTTACAGCAAACGAAGGACTGTGACTCAGGGCAGTAAGTAGTGACACAGTTAGGTACACAGAGGGTGCCGTCAGAACTAAGGAGGAACATGTCTGCCAAGGAAGCTTCCCTAGAGACAGTTAGACTGAGTGTTAAAGAATCAAAAAGGAAACACTGCCAAAGAGGTTTCCCTGGAAGAAACTTTTAGATACAGTGTTAAATACATGCTTATTGGTGTGGAGACAACATGAATTTATCATCTTTTCCCTAACACCTGCCCTCCACCCAGCTGTATAAAAACCTAGTCAACAGTACAATGGTCCACACAGAAAGCTGGAAGACGGGTTAGACTCTTCCCTCCTTCAATCAGTTGTCAAGTCTCATTGAATTCCACTTCTTTATATTTCAAATTGATTCTCCACTCTCCATTCCCAACCCTTAATTTCAGTCTCCATCATTTCTCACAGCAGGAACTGTAACACTCTTGTAACTGATCTTTCAATTAAATTTCTTCACTAGCTACAAAACTAAAACGATCCTGAAAACTCCCCTTGGGTGGTGCCCCACACAAACTGGGTCTCCTCAGATTCATCTGTCCCACTGTGCTGAACTTCTGAAAGATCTGTGAAAGCACCCTGCCCTGTTTTGCTTACTGCTTCAACTCAAGCTGCTTGGTCCCTATGGTTTGAGATATTCCAACCCTCCCTTGCTAATACCTACTCAGCTTTCAAGTACCTTCTTTCTGAAAGTCATCCTGATGGCTACTGCTCGCTCACCCTTCTTCCCGCAAGCTGAATCAAGTACCTCTTCTGCATGCTCCCACGCCACACCGTTTCATCAAGACACTTAGCACAAAGAAGTATGCTCCAATTATTCTATAATTGTCAGTCTAACCAATTCTCTATTATCTAGATCAACAAGCTAGCCCAGGGCCTTGGACACAGGAAGCAATCAAGTAATATTCAAAGAACGAAAGAATGAAGGAACAAACAAAGATAGTTAAGCCTGTGAAAGTTGATGAGACAACCAGAGGAGATAATGGATAGGACGGGACACTGAGGCATGCCCACCTTGGGTGAGTGGGAAGAAAGAAGCTAGAGAGAGAGACAGAATGAACAATAGAAGTAGGAAGAAAACACTGAGGACTGTGCAGTAAAGCAACACAAAAGGAGAGAAAAATTTAAGAAGGTGCAGGTGTCAACAGCCTCAAACACTATAACAGGTAGAAGAAGGTGATAACTCAGAAGGCTACTAATATAGAGAAGGTCACTAGGGATCTTGGTATTGCTAATGCTGAGTTTCTGCCCACCTCACTTGTCAGCATGGTCAAAGACTATCCTTTTCTCAGCCACTGTTTGAGGAAACTTAGGTCTCTTAAAAACAACCATGGTATAAAACTTACCTGTGTAATCTTTTATTTCCCCATGATTAAAAAATTAAAAAACAGAGACTATATACAAAAGAAATTAAATCCCACCACCCAGATAGAACCAGTTATTTCACTATTTCCTTTGTTTATATTTATATTTTTTGCATAATTTTATATTGGATTCCTAATGAAACAATTTAAGTATGCTTGTATTTAGTAAGCATAATTAATTATAATAAAGTTATATTAAAAATTAAATAATATGGTTTAATTTATGCTTTATTCAGCCTGTTAGATTTCTCACAGTAAACCAATAAATTACCATTCAATTTATAAGTAGAAAAAAGAAAACGGTGTTACAGAACAAGACATATTTGACCACATGTGCACAATGATTTTTCTGTCACATAATACTAAAGGTACCTCTTAATTTTTAATCAGTAAAATTATTTATGTTAAAATGTGGCACACCACCCAAGTATCTTTTCTTGACTTATTCAGGCTTGATTTCATTATTTCCTGTTCTGAAACTTGGGTGGTAAAAATAAGTTAGGCGCTGGATATAGAAACATCTATAACATCCACAGGATTTTTACCTCATTTTTTGTTCGTTTGTTTTTTAGAAATCTCTTCAGTTAAAATTAAATATACTTGCTTATAATTTTAATAAAGTCTAAATTATAACACTAAATATACTAGTATAACAATTTGTTATATCTAAAAAAATAATGTGAAACCAGGGCTTTCTTTCTTTCTTTCTTTCTTTTTTTTTTTCTTTTAGGTTTTTGCCATAGAGTACATGCACTCCCTGAAGAGAGAGAGAAAGACAGAGACAGAAAGAGGGAAAGTGAGAAATCACCCCCCCAAGGGGATGGACACACCACAATCCCTTCTCCTCCATTCTCCTCTCAGGAATTTTGAGCACCTATGCACATGTACCTGGAGTGATTTTTAAGTCGCTGGGTATGGGACTCAAACTGTGGTTGGCCACATGGGAATCCAACACCTTAATCACCATGCCACCTTCTGGCTCCTGAACCAGAGTTTGCAACTCTCTTCTGAGATTTTTCTTTTTGTCAGTATGGAGTATGTTTTAGTGGAAAAATCAGAAAGAATAAAACATTTTTAAAAGTAAAATTGCTAGGTCAAAAGGTATAAACTTTTTTTTTTGGAGAGGTTTTCGCTATAGGGCACGTGCGCTCGCCAGACAAACAGAGAGAGACAGAGAGACAGAAAGCGAGAAATCACCCCCCAGGGGGGATGGTCACGCCACAATCCCTTCTCCTCCATTCTCCTCTTGGGATCTTGGGCACGCACACACACGCACCCGGCGTGAGTTTTAAGCCACCGGGTCCGGGACGCGAACCGCGCCTGACTACGTGGGAGTCCAGCGACATAGCCATTACGCTAACTGCTGGTTCCCAGGTATGAACATTTTTAAGGTTCTGATAAATATTGCCAAATTGGAGCCAGAAACCCGTATAAAATGTATGCTTCCTTCCGTATGAGTTTCGCCTTCCCGCACCCTGACCAACACTGGATGTTCTTATTTTCAATCTTTGCCAATCTAATAGGTACAAATACTTCATCGTTATGTTTTAAAAAATAGTGAAAATAAACATGTGTCCAAATTTAGTGGTATTACTATTTTATGAGTTGATTATTCATACCTCTTTACCTGTTTTTCTACTAGACATTTGCTTTTATCCTATTTTGGTTTTAACCTTCTTTATATATTCATGATATTAACCATTTGTTACAAGTATTCCCCCCTTTTATTTATCTTTCTTCTTTTGGTACTTGACACAAGAGGTTTATTTTATTAAACTTTTATTTCTTCCTAATCTTCTATTTAGAAAATTCTTTCCCATACCCATATAAGTTATCTATACAGCTTTTTCTAATGTGGTTAGTTTTTTCTAACGTCGTTTTTCTAATGTGACCACACCACTGATATCAGTGAGATTATTTATTTCTACCATCTAATGCGTATTAAGTGATTCTAGCTCCCCCAAAAGTTATAATTACAATTCCAACAGTGGTCAGTACGAAACATAGGTTTAAAATTAAGTATAGACTTTTCCTATTTCAATTTAAGCTGTTTATAACATTTTTTTTAATTAGAATTTTGAGTTTAGAAAATTCATTCAAACTTCCCTTTAACCCATATGAAGCACAGATCTCTTGCTAGTTATCACCCACCTCTCAAAAACCTGTTAGGGATCCTTATGATGGGACAGGACTGAATGAAGCGCCTCCTAACTGGGTCCCATCGTATTTTCTTCTTACCTGTTACCACAATTATCAGCAATAAGTCAGACACATACAACACATGGCAAATAATACATAGTTACTGTAGTTATAAAGACAGGAAAACAGGGAACAAAACAATACTTGAATACAGAGAGAAAGAGATGTAAAGTAGCATTTAACCCTGTTTTTAGAAGTCAAAAGTAAATTAATATATAAGCATTGATGAAGGTTTTCAAGTTTTACCCCCAAAAGAACACAAACAATTATGTGCACCTTTTTTTCAAAATTCTGGTTCAACAGTACGTGCACTCAATAATCACCAATGCCATCTTGTGGCAAAAATTCACCAGGAGCTTTATGAACAAATAGAAATTAGGACATTTTAAGTCGGTGATGTCAAAAAAGGAGCTCTGACCAAAACTAACCGAGCATACCAGGCTCCTGTTTCTTCAAGGTTTGGTGTCCTTCTTTTACTAGTTACGTGATTAAAAGGAAAAAGCAATGGGCATCGTTCCCTAAATATGAAATAAGTTCATCCTACTATAATTCGATTTGATGATAGGAACCAAATAAAACAAACATTTAATATCTTGGTGCTACCATAGGGGGAAGGAGGAATATTCACCTATTCCCTCTGTCTTCCCAAGGAAGTAAATTAGTTTCACATCAACCCCAATTAAAACTGTTTCCTTATAAAATCCAGGAAAAACACAAAGCATTTACGGAACTATTAAAGGGGTTTAATTTTCTATTTCCTAAAATTTTCGAAATCTCCCCAAAATAGCTCTTATTAACATTTGTATAACGTTTAAAACCTACAAAGAACTTCCACATGTATTACCTCTCAACAATCCTGTACTGATTGAATGGCCATTTTACTGAGCACCTGCTACACCTGGAGCCCTAGGTGAGGCCTAGGGCTGCAAAAGGAGGACAACTTCTTCTCTTAAGAGCTTATGGTCTTATGAGGAAGGCAGATGTATAAACACATAATTACATCACAGTGAAGTAACTGCTGTGACAAGGGCTCTAAAAACATTTTGAAGAAGATACTATCATTATAATTTTCCAAAGAAGGAAGCTAAAGGAAAATTAAGTGGCTTAATGCCAGAGCCAGGATTCAAGTCCAGGCTTTCTGACATCTAAAATCTGCCTTCTTTCCACTACACTACAATGAGCCTACCTCAGACATCTCTAGAAAGAGAATACTTTTTAATTGAGAATACATTCAAATGTTTATCAGCAAGATCTAGTTTGCTTATAGAACTTGTACATAGCAATACATAGATTCTATGTAATGAAATGGCATTGCCTGCACATGTGTACCGACTATTGTAGAGAAGACAGACTGACTTGTGGGCAAAAGGAAGAATTATTTAGCTTGCAAAAGAGTTTAACTTTTAATTTTCTGAATCTTTTACATAAGTGGTTCCCAAAAATTGGCTATAATCCACTGTTAAGCTAAGGTGCAAAGTCACCAGTCCAATACAAGATGAGAAAATATGGATAAGGCAGTGAGTTTTTCAGAAAGTCAAAAATGTTCCATTTACAGGCCTGACCTTTTTTCAGAAATTAGAAAATTTTTGTTGTTAAATATTCTTTATGGAATGATGTGATAGAAAATGATAGTTGGTTTTGCTTTTTAATATCTTTTCTTGGAAAAATAAAAAAATTTGCATGACTATACCTACCCTAATAAAAATGTATGTTTTTACTTTATAGGATTATGACATTGAAATTCTGGAGAACCACTGTTTTAAAGTTAATATGCTATGTGTTGATGACTCCTGAGTCCAACACGTTAAACCACACTGCCAAAGGATATGTAACAGGTCTAAGAAACTTCCCTTGCCCTCAAGAAGCTCAAATCCTAATTAGAGAGACAAGACATACACATAAAACAATTAGATAGCAATACAAGACAGAATATAACACGTGATTAGCTTAAAATTTGACATTTTATGTATCAAAAGCATTAAAATGTACATACCCTTTGACCCAGCTATTCCACTTCTATTCCTAAAGAAACAATCATAGATGCATGGAAAGATGTATGGACAAAAATATTAACTATGGTATTATTTATAGTGGTAAAAAATTAGAAACACTTTTAATGTTTAGTGCTAGGGAGATGGTTAAGTAAGTATGCCAAATAAACATACTTAAATATGCTCATACTGTACACAGTGAAAAAGTATATGCAAGAGTATTTATTAACATGACAAAACATTCAGAATATATTACAAATGAAAAATGCAAAGTACAAAAAGGTCTCAGGGTATGATACCATTTTAGTAAAGGAAAAAGTCTGTATATACTCATCAAAAACACAGGAAAGATACACATCAAATTGTAATTGTGGTTATCTTTGGGTGGTTATTATCAGTGCTTTTTTTCTTTTGTCCCCTTTACTCTGGTCTTTATTTTCCAAGCTCTCATTAAGCAGTCATTACTTTTGGACTGGAAAAAAAACAATACTATATTACTTTTTTTTTTAAGTTACAACCAAAAGAATACGAGAAAGAGACATACCAAAGTGTTAATAGCAGTTATGACTAAGGACAGCGTTTTTACCACTTCCAGGTACTCAAAAAAGTCTATGATTTATTATTTCATAATGGAAAAATATAAAACTACTTAGGAGATAAAAATGAAAATTACTGAGCTACAGTTGTAATCAAAAACCCTCTCCTGTTTTTTCTCTTAGTTTGTCAAGCACCTTGGGCATGTTTCTCTCCCAGCAGACAGCATAACTGTCAACATGTCATTTCTAGGAGGTTATTCAGACAAGGGAGGCAGAGGCTTCAGAACCCACTTTTAACTCCTTACTCCAAAGAGCAGGAAAAAAGAGAAACCAGCGACATAGCAGTGTATCACCATCAAAAACTTATTTTTTTAAATACATGCCTTTCCAAATTCATGCATATTTCTGGTCTGAACTTCTGTTCACTGACATTTAAATTTTTATATACCCAAACTGCCAATCATCATCAGTAATTTTTTAAAAAGAATTATTCATTTGACTTTATTATTATCATTTTTCAATTTGACCAGAGAGATACAGAGAGAGGGGAAGGGAAAGGAGAAAGCAAGCCACCAGGTCCAGGACTTGAACCATGGTCAACCATGTAGGAGTCCAGCGCCTCAACTTCCACGCCACTTGCGGGCTCCCATTAGTGATTGTTTTAACTCTTCAAAACAGATAACACTTCCTTCAATGATTTCACTAATTTTATTTTTTGCCGGCTTTAACATTTTTTTCTCTTTTTTACTAAATTGACTTCAGTATGTCAGCAACTACACGGAGATGGTAGGCTGAACACATTTGCAGACAAGCTCACATACCCCACAAATCTCCCAAATAACATAAAAGCCATTTAAAACAATAATTCATTGCCAAAGAAGGCAAGAAATACCCTGAGTAGATTAAAACTATGAGGAATCACTGAAAGATGAAAAGCAGATAGAATCAGACCCTGGGGGAAAACCACAGTCCGCAATGCCCTGATCAAGGAGAAGGCAAATGCTGGAAGCAGTGCTCAGGGTAAACCAAGCCCAGAGGTAGGAGACTGCCAGAAGACCAGAAGCAATTTAAGAAAATGATAGCATGACTGACTGAGGGGCAGCACAGAAGTTACACAGCAGACCAGCCCCCTCCCCCATTATTTCTTTGAGTAAAGCATTATAGAACAGAGGTGTGTGCTCCCAAACAAGAACAGCAGCAACAAAGATGTCACTCTCCAGGCAGAACAACAGAGTCTGAACACTTGGATTGGGGAAACAGGACATGACCCTGGCGGATGCTAACATCCAGGCATGAGAGATGGTCACACTGAGACTGGCACCTGCACTTCATCTTAATACACATTCTTCCCTGTCCAAAATCATTGGAGACCTGCTGCAATTGACAGATGTCACATTCACAGGAAGACTAGCGAGAACTCTATTCAAATAAAGATGAATGAGCATAACAACACCAAGACCCAAACATGAAAAAGTAGACAGAATTAAAAATAAAGTTAAGATGGGGCCAGCAGGTGGTGTAGTAGTTAAGGCACTGGACTCCCACATAGTCAACTGCAGTACAGGTCCCGAACTCTGCAGCTTGAAACTCATGCCAGGCACGTGTACATGTGTGCCCAGAATCCCAAAAAGAGAATGGAGAAGGGATTGCAGAGTGGGAAATCACTCCTCTGGGGGGTGATTTCTCACTTTCTGTCTCTCTGGTGAACACATGTACCTTACAGCAAAAATCTCTCTCACAAAAAGTTAAGATACAAAAGAGAACTGAGCAACCGCTATCAGAATCCTAGTTGCCTTCTGTTGCTGCTATTGCAGAGATGGACAAGTTAACCCTAAATTTCATACAAAAATGTGAGAAAGACTACCAAAACTTGTATTGAGAAAATTATGTTGGAAGGGGATCAGCCGTTGGCATAATCACTATGTTGCTGGACTCCCATGTAGTCGACCACGGTTTGAGTCCCGGACCCGGTGGCTTGAACTCATGTCAGGCGCATGTGTATGTATGCCTAAGATCCCGAGAGAATGGAAGAGAAGGGATTGCGGCATGGCCATCCTCCCTGGGGGTTGACTTCTCACTTTCAGTCTCTCTGTCTGTCTCTGTCTGGCGAGCGCACAGACCATATGGTAAAAAACTTCTCAAAAAAAAAAAAATTATGTTGGAAGACGGAAGACTCACCCTTCCTGATTTCAAAACTTACTACAAAGAGTCAATATTCAGAACAGGTTGGTAGTAGCATACAGATGGACATAAAATAGAATAGAATTGAGAGTCTAGAAGTAAACTCAAAAAACTATGTTTGATTGATCTTTCACAAGGGTGACAAGACTATTCAGTGGGCAATGCATGGTCTTTTCAACAAGTAGTCTCAGGACAACTGGATATATTTTCAAGCCTACATTTCTAGACCTACTCTTGTTCATGTATTAGTGAAAGACACTTTCAGCTGTATAAAGACATAAAAAGATTGCTTTGCTCAGACTTCTGATGGAAAACTATTTAAAGGTATACTCCTGGAATTAAAAAAAAGAAAAAACATCAAGAATAACAAACAAAGTGCAAGAAAAGAATAAGCCAATAAATCAGTAAAATTTCCAGTCTAAATAAGCATTGATTGGACCAGTCTCATGACCTAGAGGTAAAGGGAACTGGATCTCACACAGCCGATTGCACGGTTTAAACCCCAGACCTGGTGGCTTGAGTAACATGCTGGGCACCTGTGCATGTGTGCCCCAAATCCCGAACAGGATGGAGAAATGGAAGAAAAGGAACTGCAGTATGACCATGCTCCATGAGGTGCTTTCTCACTCTCCCTTTCTCTGGCAAGTGTATGTGCCATCCAGCAAATTATAAACAAATAAATAAATAAGCACTCATCAGGGGAAAAAATGAAACATAAAACTGTACTAGCATTTGAAATTATAGGGCTGTCCCACAGAGTAGTAGTTAGGTCAGGAGTAGGTTTCTACACAGCCAACTGTGGTTCAAATCCTGACCTGATGGCTTGAAGAAACACACCCAGCACGAGTGTGCTTCCCAAAATTCTGACAGAGTAGTGAAAGAAAAAAGGGACTGCAGTGAGACTGTGCCTCATTGGAGTGGGGAGTGCTTTCTCTCTCTCTCTCTCTTTCTCTTTTCTTCTGGTGAGAGTGCATACCCTCCTGGCAACTAAAAAAAAAGGGGGGGAGGAGGAGAAATGTTCAAAATTACATATTGTATACTCTCAAATTATATTAACAAAATAACTATTACAGAGGTAGGAAGGGAGGCTGGGCAAAGGGAGAGCATAAGACTATCTTGTTTAGATGTAAATAAAAAGTGATTTGGGACCAGCAGATGGCGTAATTGTTACGTTGCTGGACTCCTACATAGTCTACCGCAGTTCAAGTCCTGGACCCAGTGGTTTAAAACTCACACTGGATGCATGTGCGTGTGTGCCCTAAATCCAAAGAGGAAAATCAAGGAGAAGAAACTGCAGCATGGCCAACACCCCTGGAGGTTGATTTCTTACTTTCTCTCTCTCTGATGAGTGAATGTATCCTATGGCAAAAATCTCTTTTTCTCTAAAAAAAAAAAAATATTCATTAATATAGAGCAAGCTAGAAAATTACAGATTAGGTATTGTGTAAAATATTGGAGGCCGGCAGGTAGCATGCTGGTTAAGACGCTGGACTCCCACATGGCCAAGTCCTGGACCTGGAGGCTTGTTTACTCGCTTTCCCTTTAGCCTTCTCTCCCTCTCTCTCCCTCTTTCTCTGGTCAAATTAAAAAATAACAATAATAAATAATTTTAAAAAGTTAAGAACACAGATGACTTCATTTGTGAATCCCTCTAAACATTTAAGGAATAAATAATACCTATCCTATATAAACACTTTCAGAGAATTAAGAAACTCATTAATAAGACAAGTATAACCATGATATCAAAACCTGATAATGACATTAAATTTAAAATAATTACAGCTCAATATCCCTTGCCAACTTAGGAACAAAAATCCTAAATAAAATATTAGATAATATAAGGGATTTCACAGAAATGTGTATTTTTAAAAATGATGCATGAGTTTCTGGTTTTTTTTTTTTTTTGCACCAAAATAAACTCACTTTAAATTAATTTTTTCATTGCTATTTTGAAGCTCCCTCATACATCATGACCAGGTAAAATTTAATCTAGGAATGTAAAGCTGATTTAACATTAAAAAACTCAGGCCAGGACCAGCAGGTAACATGGTGATTAGAGGTGCTGGACTCCCACATGGTCGAGGTTTGAGTCCCAAACCTGGCGGCTTCTCTCTCTCTTTCTTCCTTTCTGGTCAAATATAAATAAATAAATAAATAAATTTAAAAAAATAAAAATTCAGGCCATCTGGTGGCATGGTGGTTAAGGTGGCTAAATCCTACATGGTTGACCACACAGTTTAAGACTCAGATCTGGTGGCTTGAAAAACAGGCCAAGCATGTATGTCTAAATCCCAAAGGGAAAGAAAAGTGTAGGAGAAGGATTATAATATGACCATC